TCTTCTGACCTCTATTGCCATTGCACCACATGGGTGCACTTACACACATGCAAGGCAATACACTCATACACACAAAATATATATTTTTTAAAAGACCAAGAAAAAAAATTAAAAAAAACAAAAAAAACAAGATGGTATAGGGGCTAGAGACATGGCTCAGCAGCTAAGAGCACTGGCTGCTCTTCCAGAGGGCCCAGGTTTGGTTCCCAGCACCCACATGGTAGCTAACCATCCATAACTCCAGTTCCAGTGATCCCACGCCTTCTTCTGTCCTCCATAGGCATTGCATGACACAGGTGCACTTACATACATGCAGGCAATACACACATACACACAAAATAAAAACAACACATTAAAAAAAGAGTTTTCTTATTAGATATTGGGACATAGACATATATTTGATAGTGAAGTCTATTTGTAGGCATTAACTCCTGTTTTATCATTATTTTTCTTCTGTGGTCTCATCTCCTGATTCTTAGAGTTTGGTGAATTATTTGCTAAAGGGGTCTTACTATCCAACTTCCTAGATTAGGCCCTTTTTTTCTCCCATGGGAGTCCTAGAAAATCTGCATTGAAAGGTATATTTGCCCACTCATTATTTCCAGGGACTATGTCTTGGAGTTATAGAAACTCATGTATATATTCATATATGCCACAAGAAATTAAAATATAAAATAGACAAACTCAGATGAACAGATAATGCGTATCACTCTGAACTTGATTTCTCTCTTTCCTAAACTTACTAATTTAAAAAAATAAAATTTTAAATCCTTTCCAGACCTGGCCACTGGGTAGAAGACCATTTCCTCTTGGTGGTTTTTCTTTCTCAGGTCAGGAAACAGGAAGAGAGGAATTGGTTAAGAAAAGAGTATAAGAAACTTGTGTGTTGCACTGTAGAGTAAACAGCCCTGGTCTTTCATTCAAAGCAGATCAAACCATGGACACATTATTCATTACTGTTTGGCTGCCTGAGTTTAGGAAGAAATTACCTGCTGCCTAGGGACCAGGTATTTCAGTTTCAGATCCAGCTGTGTGCCTAACAGAAGGCACAATGCTTAGTGGCATTGTCAGCCATTTAGCATAAAAAGAACATGCTGTAATCAAGTGGGGACTACTCAGCTGTGCCACTCTTGGGCCTCATTTCAGGGAGTCTAGGAAAGCTGCCACTGAGCTTTAAAAAAGCAAAAAAAAAAAAAAAAAAAAAAAAAAAAAAAATGCTCAAAAAAGGGCAAGGTTAATTTTTT